TCGTCATTAAAAGAATGATTATGATCTTTAATGTGAAGTGCGTATGTAGAATCTGTTTTTCTATTATTAAAAGCCTTTTTATGTTCTGCTATTCGTTTATTAAAATTTCTAAAAGTTTGACCCATGTAAGTTTTTGGGCAGTCGCCACATTTAAGTTTGTATACCCACTGTGTAAGTGCTTTTTATTTTGGCTCTTACTGTTTTTAATATATTTTCCTAAGTAGTTATTTGTTCTGAAAGCTGGTGCTATTCCTTTCTTTTTATGTGTTTGGCTAGTTTGTTGATATTTTGCCTGTATATGTAATCGAGCAGCAGGTACTGGGTTTTTTCTCTGGTGGTGCAAATACTAATTTCAGAGCTTTCTTGTGTAGTTTTTGATTTAAAATTTTATTAATTGCTTGTTCGTTGTATCCATTTTTTACTGCTATTTGCTTAATGATATTTAATTCTGTCTCAAAATTGTATTTTGACATCGGAATTTCTGTTAATCTATGTAACATACTATGATAGGCTGTCAGTTTATGTTGTGTGGGATGGGATGATGAATTGTGTATAGTCGTGTCAGTATGGGTAGGTTTATGAAATATGTTGAAGTCATGTTTGTTTTTAAGTCTGATAATTTTTAAATCTAAAAAATTTATGGTTTCATTTTGTTCTGTTTCTATTGTAAATTTAATATTACTATGAAGTAAATTAATATACGATAAAAATTGGTCGAGTTGCCTGTTAGTTCCTGTGAAACATACCAGGTACGTCGTCTACGTACCTCCACCAATATAAAAACTGTTTGAATATGGAATGTCTTGAAATCTTTGTCTCTAGATGATCCACAAAAATATTTGATAGCAATGGGCTTAGAGGTTTGACCATTAGAAGTCCTGCACTGTTATTTGTATATATTTGATTATTAAAATCAAAGTAGTCCTGGTTTAGGCAAATATCCAGAAGATGTAAAATTTCAGATGTAATGATTGAATTTGTACTATTTTGGTCTAAAAGGTTTTTTACTAGAATAAAATTTTCTGTAGGAGGAATACCAGGAAAAAGATTTTTTACGTCAAATGAAATTAAACTGCACTTGTTAGTTAATTGAAAATGTTGTATTTTATTAACTAGTTCTATTGTATTTTTTATGGTAAATTTATGTGAAAATTTAGTGTGTTCTAAAATTATCTCTAACAGTTTTTTTTTGAAATTTTATATGACGGAGCTGTATAAAAAGAAGATCCTGTTACCGACCAGAATGTAGCTTCTACTATTTTTAAATAATTTTAAACTATTGGTCCTTGTTTAGGGTTGTGTTCAATTGAATGCTTAATTTTAAGTCTATGACATTCTTCAATTGTTGGATAGCTCAAAATTTGACAAAATGTTCCTGAAGATGCTCTAGGAAGCGAAAGTACTTGGGCAAGATTTAATTAATAAAACAGTGTTCGATATCTGCCTTTCAATTTATCAAAGTTCATTTATTCGAGCATTTAACCTTATATCAAAATATATTAAAAACAACAAGAGAAAAAATAAAAATCACTTACACAGTGGTGTAAACAAACTTAAATGTGGCGACTGCCCAAAAACTTACATCGGTCAAACTGGTAGAAATTTTAATAAAGGAATAGCAGAACATAAAAGGGCTTTCAATAATAGAAAAACAGATTCTACATACGCACTTCACCTTCTATGTTAGGATGTATGGAAATTAACAAATTAAAAAACACAGATATAATTCTGAATGACCAACTTGAGACAAACAGTTCTCCCCTCCTCAACCTATTTCGTTAAAGACTATAAAGTATAAACGCATGCCAAAAATACATCACTTGAGAAAAGCAATCAGCCGAAAAAGCTGTAGTGATAAGATTATATAATATATTTTTGTGGAAGTATTAAAAACAAAGTTTTCAGTGTTTTATTGTTACACAAATAATTTAATTCTCACAATACAAAAATTTGTATTTTGAAAACAATTTCAGAAGTGGAAATCGAACCTTTAAAAATAAACTTATTTTGAACTTAAATTGTGGCTTATTCCCAATAAAAATAGTAATTGCATTAAGATGGCTCAAGAAAATAGCATCAGAACAATATTGTAATTTGAATTTAAATAAATCGTTTTTAACACGTAGAGTGTCATGGGGAATCAACCCCCCATTCTGCTTAATCATTTTAATGCCTTCTGGCCGTGGGAGATCAATGTATACCGAGGGACCAGAAATCACTTACAGCCCCATCGCATAATACTGATGCGACATTTCAATGTAAACTAGATGGAAAACTTTTGTAGAGATGTTAAGCAAAATGGGAGATTAGTTGGCCATTGTGTAAGTATAAAAAAAAATATAAGGGAAAAATAAATCTAAAACTAAAATTTTAGCAAAAAAATATTTATTTTAATTCAGAAATATGTAAATCAAAAAAACATTGCAAACAAAAGTGTGTGACATACGTTGCATCTAAACTTAATTTTGGGGGTCCTATTTTTGGTAACTTGACGCCCTGATTCCTCTGAAATCTTGGCGTAGCATCCACTACAAGACCTCTTCTTATGATTATGCTCAAGATTGGTTTCTGGTTGTCCTCGAAATTTTGAATTGATGGGGTACATAATTCGATAGACAGTTTTCTATACCATTTTACTCCACGACGCAAAGAAGAATTGTAAGCTTTCATTTGGTCGGATATGTCGATATAAGTTTTATGTTTGTTATACTCGATGACACTTCTTGGCTTGGTTTTTTCGCCAGACCTTCTCGCCTGAGTGCCCATTTCAGGAACATATTTAGTTGTCAACATAAGGACGTCTGTCCTGTCTTTCCATTTCTCTATAAATATTCCTGTTTGCCGCGTCTTAGTTTTTTCTGAAAAACATTTTTTTAGTTGTTCTTTCTGTTGCTTCATAGAGTACCCATAGAGAGAAAATATATGTATTTTTTTCCAGAAGTGTCGATGCTAATTCAACAGAGGTGTAATAGTTGTCCACGACGATAGTGCGATCTTGGTTTAGTAAATTTTTAAGACAGAGCTTAAAGAGCTTGATTCCAAATATGTGTCTTTTGTTGCTGATGCACTGTTTAAATTTAAGTTTGCCTTTAAAAGGCACGAGCGTTTCATCAATCCCGATAAATTCTATTGGAATAATTGAAAATTCTCTAACAGCTTCCTAAAAAGGGTTGTTATTTAATACAGTCTGTCACCATCAGGGAAATTATTATTATCTGCAAAATGCCAATTTTTTAGCAGCAACAACAGAAAACGATTTCTGAGCATTACTGTTGTTATGATGTTATGATATAACTTATTTGTTGACCAATAGGATGAAATTAATGGCAACTGAACAAAGCCCATTCACAAAATACACCCCACAAACTTTTCAATTTCCAAAAAATCCGTGTCATTTCAGCATTGAATGGTCTTGTTCTCTATGTCCTCTTGGTCTTGTAACTATTAATTTATAAAAACCGTATGGAGTTTTTTCATAAAAATAATAAAGGTTCTCGTCAATTTCAGGATCACCCACTGTGAATTGAAAATTCTTCATGTGCGTACCGGCTACTTCAGACCATGAAAATACTTCAGCAGGCTCAGCAGTGAGTTTATCTGTCAGGGTCTCATCATTGTAATTCATGTTCTGCTGAATAACATGCTCTAAAACATTGTCAATATTATTTCCTGCTTTTGTTACCTGAACTGAATTTTTAGTGTCTGTGGATCTGTCGAAAACATCACTCTTCTTGCAGAGGTTCTTGGCAAATTTTCTTTGGAAGTGTAGTCAAATTTTTTCTCCGGAGATTGGACAATCTTGATTTATTTCTAGGTGTCTATAGATCATCTTCTAAACTGGACATGTAAGCATCAACACAACATTAATACCACTCACTGACTGCAAAACGCAAGCAAACTGAAACGCTGACGACTGACGACTAGTGCTGGCCGACGAGGATCGAAAATCGTAGACGTAGATACCGCTTCCTTCAAGGACGAGCGACGCACGCGTGCGCTTCCCCACAGGCCTTAACGCCAAACACATGCTTTCGGGCCATGGGGGATCAACGTAAACCGTCACATAAAAATGACAAAATCGGGCAAAAAATTTCAAATTTCGGAAAAAAAATACCAATGAACCTGTATAATAGCTCAAACATATTAGGAATTTCAAATAAAAAATTTGGCCAAAGGGTTCCGCAAAAATGTAATCCCGTGGTGGCACTGTACATCCCACCCATCGAGCAAAAAGACAAAAGAGGGAATGTAAAGGTAGTGGGTACAAAAATATTGTTAGACAGGAAGTGCTATCTTGAGAGGCCACTTTAAACAAGGAAAGACGGTCTCTTTCCTTGTTTAAGAAATCAAATTTAGTTTGGTTATGTTATTGTTTGTGCCAACTGTCACTTGAAATTTTATTTATATTAAAGTTTTTTACCAATTGTGTCACTTTTTAGACTATTATCGTTAATATTTTATTAAAACTTTCTCGTCTGAAAAATATTTTATAGCTATTGTTAATAAGTGTCGGAAACTTTAAATTTAGCGCCTTCGCATTTCCGGATATGTCCGCTATCAGAGGCCACTCTTTAGTCTCTTTTTTCATAACGACTAGATTCCCTCTTTTGTCTTTTTGCTCGATGATCCCACCCGAGACTGTACGCCAGAGAGTCCCGGAAAACTATTAGTCATGTTATTTACAAATAAAAACATAGTAAGTATAGGTTTTCTGCATACAGTAGATGCATTGATGATTATTTCAAAATAAATATTTTTTTCCGATTTGCTACCAATATCCCTAACTTCTGGCGAACAGTTTATTTGGTTATAAAATAATATATCAACTGAGTAGACGGAACGCAAATCTATATATCTGTCAAAAACAAGCAAAACATAAATTTCTATTACAGCAATATTGCCGAACCGAATTTCTACATCGTGAATTTCTACATCGTATATTTTCCTAAATTTACAAGACAAGACGTATTTTACCCTGCTTACATTTTTATTTTTTTCAGGTCAACTTCAATTATGGAAACGAGGGGAGCCATGCAGATACTCAACGAACGCTCTCTGGCTTGGATAGGGACTGTTTTATTATCCCAGTTCACAGTCTGGATAGGTTCCTTCCTGCGGGAGTCCCAATGCCAGTAGGTATAAAAATAGCCCATTTGTAAATGTATTATGTTTTATTTTTTTGTAAGGTCGCTCGTCGCGTCTTAGTTACGAGGATAGATCAAATAAGAATCGGACTTTTACGAGCAACTATTCAAATTTTGTTATATACAATCTTTTTTATAGAAAACATTGTATTAAAATAAGAAAATTATGCTTATTTACAAATTTATCTGTAAAATAAATTATTTATGAGAGTTGGCGACGAAAACACCCGAGACTGAGGAGTCCGACAGGGTTCTGTCTGCAATACCTATAAAAAAGCGTTCTCAAATTTAATGGAGGGTGGGTTCAACTGAGTGAGTTTTTAGTGTGACATTGGTCGATAATTCCATTATAGTACATAATATCCAAATAAAAAAGTTATTTAGAAAAAATGTAGACAATGATATGTTCCAAGCTTGGATAATATTCTGAATTCAACAGGATGATTAATAACTTAGGTAGTAAAGCTAATATGCAATTTTTTAAATAGGACACCCAGTATATTTTCTCATATTTAGATTCCCCGTATAATCCCTGGACTGCAAACCTAAGGAGCAACGAGAAGCATTCTACGAACAATTGCAAACCATCCTGGATAAAATACCTCATGAAGAACCCATAATTCTTATGGGTGACTTTTAAGATTTAATGAAAACTATCTTAACGCAAATGGAGAACTCCTGGCTAATATCTGTGCTTTTAACGAACTGAGAATTAATAATACTTTTTTCGACCATAAGCTCCAGTATAAATAAATATTTGAAAACTCCAGGGGGAACAAATCTATGATTGATTTTAAAGTCACTAATAGAAAAATCCACTTTAAACTCAACAGACGCAGAGAGTGAGCACAAACTAGTACTAGCAAAAATAAAAATGAAAATAATACCAAAACATATTCTATAGGAAATCACCGAGGAAAAATTTAATGTAGAATCACTGTGGAACGACTCTATAAGAGAAATGTACCAAAGGAGACTAGCACAGAAGATACAGGTGAAATAAATAGACGACGTCGAAGATATAAACGCGAGCTGAGAAAAAATTAAAAACAACATTGAAGAATCGGCAAGAGAAGCTCTAGGAAAACGTTAAGTTATACTGAACAAAAGAAAGAACAATAATACACCATGGTTCAGAAAATAAATAAAAGAGAAATGTAAAGAGGAAGACATTCATAAGAAATCAAAGGAAAGAAATGGCAGAATTGAAGGAATACAATAAGATACCAGCAAACTAATAGGAAAAATACCTGATGGAACTGTTTAAAGGAAAGGTAAATAATAATCAACACAATATCATACCTGAATTAAGACACGAAATAGAAATCAGTTTTCGGAAGTAGAGATAGCCATAATTTCACTCAAAAATAGAAAGTGATTAGGACCAGACGGAATAACCAGCGAGCTTCTAAAACACGGAGGAGAAAGTCTAACCCTAGAGATGACAAAACTTATACAAAAACTAATATTGCACTGCAAGATACCAGACGCATACAGAAACAGCATAATGATACCAATGTTCAAGAAAGGAGATAAAAACCCCAACGATTATAGAGGCATAAATCTACTGATCACCGCACTTAAGCTTACCACAAACTTCCTAACCAACAAAATCGATAAACTAACGACATTATCAGATGAACAACAAGAATTTAGATCCGAAAGATCCTGCGTAGACGCTGTATTTGTACTAAGACAAATCACAGAAAAGGCCATCCAGTACAATAAGCCAGCATATCTATGTTTTATAGACCTGACAAATGCTTGCAATCGCATCCAAGTCGAAGACGTCTTACACCTACTGTATAAAAGAAACATACCAATCAGTATTATGCAAACCATCGAAAACGTCTACTTTCATAATCGAATACAGGCAAAGATAAATGGAAAACTAACACAGTGTATACCAGTACAAAGCGGAGTCAGACAGAGTGACTTCTTAAGCCCACTTCTCTTTAATATAATAATGGACGAAATAATACAAGCAGTATTTAAAGGTCATGGTTACATAATGAGGTACAAAGAAATTCAAATATTATGTTATGCAGACGACGCCGCATTAATCTCTGAGACAGAAGACGAGCTTCAAAGATTAACATACATCGTCAATTCAACAGCCAAGAAATACAATATGATAATGACGCAATCTGGAAGAGCAAACACCTAAGACAAGACACAAAAACAATAATCTATAAAGCAGCAATTAAACCTATATTAACATACACGACGGAGACAAGACCTGACAACTCTAAAACGAGACGACTACTAGAAACAATGGAGATGAAAATACTTCGACGGATATCAAGGAAAAGTCTGTTGAATGTAGAGAGAAGCGAAAACACAAGAAAAGCATGCAATATAGAAGTTATAAATGGATGAGTGACAAAACGGAAACAGGATTGGAACGAACACATTAGTAGAATGGAAGAGGATAGGATATAATAGTACGAATAGCACGAGATAAGTCACCAAATGGACCATGATATAAGGAAACATGGTATGCTCACACGCATCTATTTTGAACAGCCAATCGCGTTTACGACCAAAATCTACCATTTTGAAGGCGGCAATTCAAATATGTACAAAATTGATAAAAAATGTCGTAGTTAAATAAAATAAAATAAAATAATATAATATTATACATCAATCCAATTAATTCAGATTTAAAATGATCCGAACAGACTCTTGCTAAAATAATTTTTAAAAAATCAAAGCAAAACAAAAACAAATTTACTTTTAAATTCCAATACATGGCAAAGTAAGGTTAATAAATACTTACCATTTTTGAGATTTATTTTGTCACCACAAAAATCTATCCACTGTTGAGCTCTCTCATCTTTTGGAATAGAAAAATATCGTACTTTTCGATTTATTTGTATTCGCATACCAATTGGAACATTGTTTAACAGCACAATTTGGCATTATTATCGAAAAACTAACTTTACTCTAAAATGCAAAACACTTCGCTGGGCGTAAACAAAGCAGACGTCACATGTGACGTATTGAAAAAGTTGGCCGATGGCCGATCTGGCCATTGTGATGCGTCGACGAATCTCGTTTTCGCATTCTCCACTGTTAGTAATAATGAAGCCTAGTAATAAATAGATTAGATGTTCTGGTGTACCCATTTCTCTAATTATATGCCATATTTTATCCCATTTTACGGTATCGAAGGCCTTGGAATAGTCAACATAGCATAAATATTTCTGTGTTGAACTCTCGAGATTTTTCGATAATTTGACGAATATTAAGAATATGTTCTCTTGTTCTTCTACGTGGGACGAATCCGCATTGTTCTTGTGGAATTTGTGGTAAGAGAACTAATTTTAGTCTTTCATTGATGATGGTTAGAAGTACTTTGCTCGCGTGTGATATCAATGCTAATGTACGGTAATTACTGCAATCTGTCGGTGAACCTTTTGTATACATGGGAATAAACGTGAGTTTACCCCAGTCATTTGGCCACTTTCCGGTATTTCAAATCTCATTGCAAATTCTAAGCATTACTTCCGTCCCTAATTCTTTGAGTGTTCCAGCTGTTATTCCATCTTCTCCTTCTGCTTTTTTGAATTTTAGCTTTTTAATTGCCGCCTCAATTTCTGATTTCAATATTTAAGGTTCTTCTTCATAACTTCTTTTCTCTGTATTATTGTCTGGGTCGTTGTTAGAGAATATATTTCGCAATATTGTTTCCACACCTCTGCCATACCGTCTGGGTTTGTTATGGTATTTCCACTATTATCTTTGATGATCTATGTCTACGGTTTGAATTCTCTCGCTAGATACTCGACTTTTGTTTTTACATATGTTTTACTTCACATATGTTTTTAATATAATTATTTTTGTCCCTTCTGCATAAGTGTTTTCGTCTTTTTTCTACAAGATTGAGAGGCTCTTCAGTCATCAAACTATACCAGTCACTAGTAGGTCAGCTTCTGCTAATGCTTCTCTACTACTAACTAATAACTTTTCCGAATGTTTTGGAATCAATTTTTGTTTTTTATTTGTGATCCATATCGATGGCAAATTAAAGGAGCCGGTCACTTCGTTCATTTCGCTCGCTTAAGCCATGCTCACCTATTGTTCCTTTGAAATAGTCATCTATTTCAGTTTTTCCTATTTCTGCATTCCAATCTTCTATTATCATCATTGGTTCTTTTTTAGGAATGTTAGAGATGGTTTCATGTATCAGGGGGTATTTCTTTTACTATATCTTCTGCCGCTTCAGATTTGGTATATATACCTGTATAATATGCATGTTTTTGAATTAATATTGCTACGCCTTTTTATCCTGATTTATTAGCTCCTGACATGAAAACTTTGTAGTGAGTGGTCTCCCAATGTCCTTGGGCTTTCCAGTGTGTCTCAGATATCCCACAGATATCTATCTTTTCCTTGATCAGTTCATTTTCTAATATATACAATTTACCTGGCTTTGTGGTGTTTAAAGAGACTTAAAGTGCGTTTTTAAAGTATTGTAATATTATTCTATACAAAATTTTGCACAGTTTATGAAAATAGTTTATTTTGTTTAAACAGAACCATGTTTTTTGCAAAAAGTCACCCCTCATAAAAGTCTAGTGTGTTCGTAATATGAGGTACTTGGCAATTCCTAATTTGGGGTACCTATATTAGACGGGATACCGCTAGGATTATTTACTTTTAGTTGCATTTACAAGCAAGCGGGTAAGCTGACAGATGTCAACGCCATTTTCGGCTTTCCGGTTTTCTTGAAAAGCACATATCATAATAAAAGTACATATATGCGTCAAATAACCTTAGAAAGTTACGTTAAGATGGTGGGAAATCCTGAAGACATGGTAAATTCTTATTTATTACGAAAAATATTATTTTTGGAAGAAATAGAGTCAATGTTCGCCAATCGCTGCTTAGAAATGGAAAGACGATTTTTTGGAATTACACAAAAATGCGTCGGTAAATTGGCATATAGCTTATGCAAAGGAAATAATATAAAAAAGACATTCAGCGTGGCATAAGAAAGTGCTGGAAAGAAATGGTTTGCCCAATTGCTTGCAAGGTACAAGGAATTTTCACTAAGAATGCCTCAAGGAATATCCTATACGCGTATTAAATCCCACATTGCTCAGCGACCATGAATACAGCAATTACAGTTGCTTGGTTATAGCGTCATTGAAGGGTCCAGTAAAAAAATGACGCTATATCAGAGTGACGTTATAAAAGAGGTAGAAAAAAATGAAATTTTAACGAGGTTAAATTTTATTACAGCATTATTTATTAATACAGCTGCATTTAGGATAACAAAATTAAGAAATAACACATATCATGTATATAAAACTTACATTTTTTATGAAAAGGTTCTCTAATCCTAAAAAAATCCGTACAACCCTTTACGAAAAATAAACTTTTTCGGTAGTGTTGTAATGTGAGCGTAGCAAGTGAGTGGGGAGTTGGAATAAAGGGCTAAGTAGCATAGAAAAGATAATAATTATTCGAGATAATTATTATATATTCCAAATTTAATAAGGGAGAATTAATACAGTAAAGTATACATTTAGGTTACACAAAGAAATTGACCTAGTTAGTGCACTGTTTGTTAATTGTTTAACGTAGAAAAAGCACGTCAAACAGAAACTGTTATTGTAATGCAATATAGGACCCACAATTCAGCGAAAACACGACCTTGGTACTAGAACTGGCGTTGAAAGTACGAGCACAATAAAACAAGAAAAACGACGGTAGCCAGGCAGTCGGTATGTCTCCGGGGAGTAGTTAACACGCGACATAGTATCTCGTATAATCAGGTTAGTGGTGAAGTTCGTAACAACGGAGGAGTCCCCTCAGCTGACCGAACTCCAGAGGACCGAAGGCGTGTCGTTGTTGAAAGTCTAACTACACATAAGGTAACAGATTTCTATATACTAACCTGAGTAATTATAATAGTACAACTGTCAATTCTTCACTCTCTTGCTTCTCGTCTCCCGGCGCGCCGAATGACTTATTAACGATTGTATTTGTAAACTACAGGGTACATTCAATATATTGTAGACTCTAATTTGGTTTTAATGTTCCTTTCGGCCAATTCAGACAGAGACTAGGAGAGTACAAGATTCTGCTTATACATATCTCCGGCTTCTAAAGTAAGCCCATAACCTCAGCTCTTTACAGGACCTGAGACCTAGGAGTCCTTACCCCTATCCCGAAAATCCCTTATCTTCTCGTAAATCCACGAAGACGAACCAGTCAGTTCGGACCAGTGGGGCCAGTAAGCCTAGCAGCCGCTCGCAGGGTTAGCATCCTTTGAGGGTCTATAAAGTATTTCAGTAGTGACAGCGGATAATCTGAGCTGCTTCTTTGGTAGTTGTGGATGCCTCCCTGAACTGGTTAAACCTGGATATGGTCTCAGCATCTCTCATTGCTTCTTAGATGTTAGGACAATCAACGCCGTCTTCTTCTTCTTCATTATCTTCAACAACATCCATTTCCACATTTTGCACTTGTTCCACAATTTCTTTATCACTTAAAACTTAAAATGTTTCTACCTGATCGTCTACTGAAATGTAGGAGTCAAGATCAGTTCCAAACTCTCTCTGGTTTACATTAAATTTTTGTATCCACTCTGACAAAGGCATTTCGTCATCATCGTCAACATCCTGAATATTGGGATAAACTACAGTCAATTTAGCTTGACGAAAGCACTTACAAATTAAAAGGATTTACAAAAAAAAAGCGTGGATTGCGGTTACTAACGTAACCGGTACATTTGTGAGTTTTGTTCTGATAAATAGATTTATTGTATGTTATTCTTAGCTAATTAGATTTTTAATTCATTTAAGAAAAAATACGTTTTGTTAGATGTTAATTCTACGGTTATTTAAATAAATATAAATTAATTTTGTTTTATTGTTAGTTTAAGAAGATTTTAAATAAATTAAAATAAATTCTATGACTATAACTTCTTCTTTCTTTTTTACTTCTAACTCCTTGGAGGCATCATATAATTAAATATATACCAGTTCATCTGCTGGTTTGGTGAGAGGATATATATTATTCATTTTTAGTGTCATGGAATTTACTCTTTAGAGTAAAGTTAGGTAGTTTACATGTTTTTCATTAATTGGAAGAAATTTCCAAATTTTTATTCCATTATTTCGTTAATCTAATATTCCCTTTCCGTAAATTTAGTCGTAATTCGTCATATTCATAACAACATTATTTATAGCATTCCTTTCTTCCGGCTTAATTGTCGGCAAAGCAAATCAACTCAGTTGCCAGAAGGGTTGAGTTAGATATTATTATCGCTCGAACAGGTGAGGTTGACATTTGGATCGTGATATTAGTATACACAGCTGTAATTAATAATATATCAGGTGCCATGTTCTTTGAATGTATCGAAAAATTTATGGCACTAAATGTCTTTAACTGTTTATTGATAATATTCTTCACGAATGTGTAACATCTTCTCATCTTTAAGTAGATATTTAATTTGAGTTTACCCACAACACAGATAAATATATTAAAATACCTGCTCCATATCCTGTAAAATATTTCTTATACTCTGCAGTTACTTTTATTTAAATATTTATTATTATAATAGGTTTTTAAGTGATCAATTAGATTTATAGTTTGGAAAACCTATAAAAAAAGTCTATTTCACGTTGAAACCATCCATTATCAATTAAATTTTGAAGTGGATTGCACTACAACTTCGCCGTAGAACTCGTTGTGCATTTTACCCTGCTTATCAGAATTCCAAGCAACTTCCACCGTTTTATATGCCCCAGTTTCCTTGTTTACGATTCAAGTACCGTTACCAAGAGCGCCATTTCGCTGCTTAAAGATGTATCAATGGGAATTAAAATTGTGACATTAGGACGTATTTTTAACAAGGAGAAGTATGGCTATTAACTAAAATTTATCATCACGGAATAATAAATGATTACAAAATTAGAATAACCCGTAAATGTAAATAGATCTTTTATATTTTTTACACAAAGTTATTTTAGGTCCTTAGGGAGGAGAAGTGAATTATTAATATTATTGAAATTATTACACAACTTTTTCTGCAAAATCAGAATGCCAGCCACCTCTCACATCCACCTCAAAATAAATCCGCTCTGGTCTAACGTAAAAAATTGTAAATACAAAAATATTTTCATCTGTTTTACGATCTATATAAGAAGAGAATATTAAAGTCAAAATACAAAATAGCTAGAAGATATCAAGAAATCATTAGGTATTATTATATTCATTTCAATTTCAACTTTAATTAAAACAAAGCTATTTTACTCTTTCTATTTCTATTTATTTTTTATTTTATGTGCCCGGTATTTGCCATATATCTAATATTTTATGAAAAAATAATGATGGGCAAAGTTGTCTTCCATTCTCCATAAAAATACGTTTTTTAGTTTTTTTACTACCATTAACACGTTTACGGCTTTTATACGATTGATATTACTCTCTTTTATTTTTCAGAAACCAGTAAATAACAACTCCTTGGAGAAAAGGGGAAATCTTCACGTTATGGAGGTAAAATCGATACACCCATAAAATAAAACTTTTACCCTTAAATAAAATATTGCAGGTACCAGACCCGAAATTATGTGTCTTATGCCATTTAATGAGTCCCTTGGAACCAGTAGATCCCGTTTTAGAATCACCTTTAGTCCAACCTTTATTGAAGCAGAGGGTTATAGCAGGCGAACTAGTAAACGATATAGCACAAGCAAAAACGGCGATAACTGGAATGTTACTCGCTAATATGGAAAGGAATGGTGAGTAGTTTAAATAATTCATAAAAAAATAATTTAAAACATGTCTGAAAAACGTTGGGACGCATAGTTGTTCCGAAATTAGAAAAGACATTGGTTAAGATCGCAACTGCATCTTATCTGAGATCATTATCTTTCCCTCTTGTATGAATGTGGTAGCAAATATTAATTACTTTTTAAAATGATTAAGGGTATTGTCTATATTTTAATACATTTTTTTGCTATGTAGTTCCTTAAAGACGTCCTCCAACAATTGATTGAACACTTTTTACCACTATTTGTTGAAAATGGATTTAATTAAAGTTGTCCAATTTGCCTAAATAATTTATTATTACGCTAATAATATCGATTCTTATTATTCTTTGTATACATAAAAAGCAGTGGTTACAAGATGCATCCCTGTCTAACCCCACGAAGAATTTCAATTAAATAAGAAGTATCTAGACCAATTCTAATACAGTAGAGTCACAATACCTTCACTTTTTGTGAGTTCAGTGCACAGTAAGGGTATTTGTTCGATATAACAAGTACCAGTACGTTTTAGTAAAAGTGTTTACCGTTTTCTATCAATCATGGTCATGGAAAAACAAAAAAGGGAAAAGATGGTATTATCAATGCAAAACAAACTAAACGCATTAAAAGGGCTTGATAAAGGGGGAAATACTGCAGACAGTGACTGATGACTCTGGTGTTGGTCGAATACACAGGATTATTGACAGGTTTACACCTCTAAACCAGTATATTCACGCTGAATAGTGCCTCTATTGTTTTAAGATTATTACCGAACCAAATGGTCCATAAGGTCTGGAGTGCATTATCCGAAGAGAGATTTTTAAAACTTATAAAACCTACGAGTATTTACCATTTTCCCTTTATTTCCAAATAGTTTAAGTATTTATGTTAATATTTCATCTTATCCTGTAGATTTTCTATTTTTGGCCATTTTTATCGCATTTTCTAGTTCTTCCACTGTTACTTTGAGACCTGTAATACGACTTTTGTTATTTCTTTTAATTGTCGTTCATCCCTAAATAGTTCTTTAATGTACCCTTCTCATCTTTTTACTATATAGGCCAGGGAAATAAGCAAAAAAGTACTCTGCTTGTGGCACTGAACTGGCAAGGCAAACGACAATTGTTTTGAGTAGTAGTACGAAAAAAGTGCATACAAATTAAAAAAAAAAGAAACGTCAAAATCCATAAACAGGAACCAGAAATATAGTTAACACGTTGCCTGCCTTAGAGGAATTTGTAATACTTTCCGTTCACGTCAAGGCCATTTCTGCCACATGGTCGAAAAAAATTACCGCTCACCGGTGCGCAGAGATACCTTTATATAGCCTGTAATGATTCATGTTTAAAAATTTTTAAAATTCCTCTACTTACAAAAAAAAAATTATATGTGCCGTCACATTGACCGAGACGGCACTATAGTCACGATAAAATTCTCAAATCAAATGCTCGATCAGCGAGGTCAAATAGACCTCGCTGACGTGCAAAGTAATTTTTTTCTCGGTTAAATAAACTGAAACGGCAGGAACGTATTAATAGCTTCTTCCGCCTCCATCGCTTCCTTGAGTTTCAAAGTCGGCCTAAATGACCAATGGGAAGGCCACGTGGTCGATAAATCCGGTCCATTAAAAAGAGATGCAGGGACTGCTTTGCGTCAATTTTCTCTGTCGCACTGTGACGTGCTTGTATTGCAAGAGTCAGTCGATTTGTATTATATATCTATGGGTAAAGCCTAATTTGGTTGCCGCCTATGACTATTCAGTATCAGACCGATACAGAGATCGTTTCTCACCGCTGTGATCCCGTAATGGCATATCTGCTGCTCTCAGTTGATCCGCGGGTGTCTATTTGGCACAGTCTTATTCTCACCTATCTTACATATCTACAGGAACGTTCCATATCAGCCATTGCGACTCGGCGTGTCGATTCTGAGCTCTACCCTGCTCCGCGTGTGTTTGCCCAGAAGTAATGAAATGACCTTACTCAATTCAGAACCCCTCGTTCTTGGAAACTAACACCGGTGTAACGTAAATTTTTTTACTCCGTAATATTTTTAATCTAGAGTAAAATAATTTTACTCCAGAGTCAAATTTTACCTAATTTTTTACTCTGTGTGTTAACATTTTACTCTCTTTATCCTATATTAAAAAAATTAAAATCTAATTAGCATTTTTGGGTTGTTAAATGTGATTGTCTTGAATGTTTGTTTACTAATTGTGGTTACTAATAAACAAAATCAATTTATACAGCAATGCAGCAATATTTTTAAATAAGTACCGGGTTGCAGGAGTAGAATGGGTTAAAGGAGACAAGCCTTATAAAAGAGCCTCCTTTCATATAACCTATTATGAATTCAAATAGTTAACACTAAACAAGCACCTAAATATCTTTCTTTAACAAAGAAGAGATCAGTTTTTCGGATGTGGTACTTACTCCAAATCGGAGGGTAAAATTTTAACGTTAATATTTTACTCGGGAGTAAAATTATAATGTTAAATTTTTACCCTAGAGTAAAAATTTAACAGTGTATAGATAAGTATATAGATAAAAATAGGTAAATAGAGAGTTTCTTGGAATAATAATTAAAAAAACTACTTTTAATGTCAAAAAAAAATTATGGCAAAAAATGAATCACTTATTTATCAAATATTGTTACATTTATTTAATGTAGGTATCTATTCTAAATTTTATAAATGTCGTCTAATGATGTCCCTAAAGGAGTTAAAAATAATCTATATTAGATTAATTTAGAGCCCTACGAAACGTTTGACTTACTTATTTCTATTGACATTTAGAAAGATAAATATTTATTTTTATTTTTAGGCGAATTCCCGTTTATAACATATTATGTGATAAATACGTCACAAACGAATCCTGTGATGTTCTACAATAATTTACGCACTGCCAGTTTAAGCAAGTTCGATCCAAGGACAACTAGGTAAATATTCTCAACACTGTGAATGTGATTTACTACTACTATGCTATTTACTACTGGCATATGTGACATAATTTTTTTAAAAAAAGTTTACCTTGAAATTCCCACTCTATTTTGATACCTCAAACAACCATGGTGTGATTTTATTGATAAATATGCAACTTTCTCAATTAATAAGTTCAAACTGCCGTACAAACTTGGAATTTGCAAAACTATTCATCGATATATTGGACGGTTGCCTCAAATTTTAACTAAGCAACTATTTATATGACTGTAAAGTGCGAAGAGGATAATTCCAGGCCTTTGCACTAATTTACTGAAACCTGGAAGATTTTATATTTGCGATACCGATTCTGGTCTTTTGATGTGTGCTCTCAAATATGCTCTCAAAGGTCGTTCTGCAACCCGAAACAGAGACAAGGACAAACTACTTATCTGTGTCTCGTCAGTCTCCTTTAAGAGCAGTAGCGAAGTCAATCGCTGGTTGACAGTTCCCTTGTAGCACTGATTTCTTATTAAAAAAAATAATAATAATAACATAAATAAAATTTAATGACGAGGAAGAGGAATTGCTAATGGAGTTAGTGGCTAAGAACCCACCACTATTTGATCGTCAAGTAGAATCCTGCAAGGATTTCTCGTCCTAGAAAATATAAAATCATTCGTGCCTCATGTTAAATATAAAATTTATATACACACACCTCCGTTTTTCATTCGAAACATGGAGTACGAGAAATATATCATCATTTTCTTCTTACAGTAGCCTTTTAAAGAATAGCTTCGAAGCCGTTACATGCCTTTTTTGTTCTACATCTGATACAGGTACTGAAGAATTGACACATGTTTTGCGTATGTCGCTTTTCTCGGTTGCGTCACATGGAACCTCTTTATACTGTGGTTGCGTACTCATTTTAAGGAGCGACAGCTCGATGTCTCGGTCTCGCTTATCTGTCACCTGTCTCGGTCTCATGTATCGGTCGCTTGATGCTAACGTTAGTGTTTTTAGACGAAAGATATATCGCCATTTGTGAGTTTCATACAAAAGTGTCCAGAAAATGTTGTCCTGATGTAGTGTAAAATACCGAGAAAGTATGTAAAATGTAGATAAATAATATAAAACTGATACTGTTTCTGAAGACAACCAAACTTTCTAATTTTTTGTCGTTTCTGCGAGCCACGGACCTATGAACTAAAAAATTATGTAAACTGCTGTAAACATTGTTTTAATATTAAGTTGATTTATACTAAAAGCGTTTGTTTGATGATAATTCGGAGAATTCTTCTTCGATCACTCTCTCTTTAGTCCTGACACCCCCGGAAGGAGTGTAGTCGACGTGATGTGACGTCGTGTATGATCTGTCTCCAAAGATCCCTGTCTCTGGTTATTTCTTGCATTTCTTGTCAATTCATGCATTGGTCTTTTGCATATTCCTGTAATTTAATCAATCCATCTTGTTAGAGAACTTCCTTGTGATCTTCGGCCTGCTACCTTTCCTTGGATGATGCCACTCTCCATATTTTCTGTGGCTGATCTCATAATATGTCCTAAGTATTTTAATTATTGTATATGGGTTTTGCTGAAGAGTCGTTTACTGATCTTTAGTTCTCTTAAAGTTGAATTATTAGTCCTATGCTGAGTCCATAGAATTCGTAATATTTTTCTCCAAAGAACCTTTCAGTGGCGTATATTTTTCTTCTTTCCGATTGTCTCAGAATCCAAGATTCACATCCGTATGTCAGTGTTGAGAATATTAAGCAGTTGGACAACCTCATTGTTAGGTTTATTGAAATTTGGGAGTCCTTCCATGTTTTGGTTACCTTTCATACGGCAATCTTTGGTCTTACTCGGAACGTACGAGACATTCTGTTGGACGGCATCACACTTAACTTTCTTGAGAATGATAATGCAGTGATTCTCCTACCCTTCTGCATCGTAGTATCACAACCATTCTTCTGTTACAGCTTCGCTTGTGATTGTCCAATGATATGCCGGTCCATGATCATTGTCAGGTCAGCCTTAACATTGTACTGCCGGTTGCTACCGCCCTTCATCAGGAATGTATATTAACTTTTCGGTCGGGGTGTGGAATGGGAGGATACATGTAAATTATATGGAATAAAGTGTTTTCATCTAGGAGGAGAGCGTATGAGAGAAATAGTAGCTAGCGTAGGGTTAGGGTTGCCAAGTCTGAAAGTAATCTGTACTATAGTGTCTCTATCTTCTGTCTTTCTTGTTACCGAAGAGATCGAGTTTTAACAATTTTAGTCGAATTAATCGTTTTAATAGTTTTAGTCGAATTTAGGTTGCGTGGGCAGATATATCGTTGCATATATTTGCAGTATGTTAGTTGTACGATGCGAAATATGTCTGTTATTGTTTACGTCTTGCTTGTATTAATTTTTAGCTGAATTTTCTTGCTTTAAAACTCTTACTCTGTTGCTGTCATTAGTATACTGTGAAGTCACTAGCGAATCTTAAGTTAGAGATTTTTTTTTCGGCCACCATTAAGCTCTGACGTTCCTCCCCCATCTTTTACGGGGCCTTGTTTTAGTCTTCTGTCTTGCATTTTACAATGATCTCCCTTATATTTTTTTACTTTTTTGTAGTTTCTGTTATCCAATCCAATAAGTGATATTTGAAGAAGTAATCAATTAAAACTGTTTTGTTGTTTAAATTAACAGTTATATAAATATGTTTAAATGAGAAAAAAGTAGTTCATAACTTCCTAACTAAGGTTTATTATTGTAAAATACAATAATAATCAGTTAAATTTATCAAATGCGATATTTTTGCTAACACTTAAGTTATTTTATCGTTAAGTGGCATCTAGCACGTGATGTGGTGGCATCTGAATAAAATATTATTTTTATTCAGTAAAGAAAGGAAATTTTAAAAGTAATGAATAAGATTAGTCCAGTCGTCAAAGACGAAAATGCCACTGAAACTCTAAAAATCATACGAACCAGCTGAATTTTGCTGAGAATGTTAATTTTCCCCTAAGGGGGGGGGGTTTAGAGGACGCATGGAAAATTCAGCTTGTTCATCTAGTTTTTAGAAATCACATCTCGGACAACTGGATAAAATGAATTTTATTTTTTTCATATAATTAAATTAAGTTTGAGATTTTTTATGTTTTATAATCCAATGTTTTTGTTAAAATAAAAAAATCTAAATAGTACAAAATCAACTTGTTCTATTATTGTTGTCCAGTTTTCATGTATTTTCTCCACTTTTTAAATGTGATTAATAAATATTTAAACACTTTTTAAAATTATAGTCATGAAATTCTTCATTTGTCCGCACCACTGCTATTTTGTAATTTCCTTTGCAATATAAGCTGCAATGGAACATATCCCTGTTAAATTCTCACTACGTGACCCAGATATTATAAACTTTGATGTTTTAGTGTTAAAGCGAAGCCATATTTTGACTCGTTTCCGCTACCTTAGTAACTAAAAATTATTCAGACGTTTTCCATTTATCTCCATTTCCTCATCGATAGCTTCCAGGGTTGCTTTAATTATCATTTTTAACGATCATTTTAGATATACAGCAGCACATACCTTGGATCTATATACAGAAGTAGCTTCGATATGTCGGCCACCAGTACACGAAATCGGTATGTCGTTACTAAAAACACAAAGTTCATCGACTGGTTATATGGTATCAGTCTATAAAGTCTTTGAAGGAGATGATAGGGAGAAGTTTGAACGTAATTGGCTCTACTGGACAGGTAAAATTTGTTGTAAAATATAAAAGTAGATTAATGCATGAACAAAAATTAATATTAAAATAAGGCATCTTAATCGTCCGAGTTTATATAAAAGTATAAGATGGGAAGGTAGTAAGTAAATATGGTAGCTGACACAAGCAAAATAAAACAGCGTGAACCTATAAATTAAAGGTTTATATTTTTGAAATTGTAAAATTGTCTATAGATTTGTATTTACAAATAGAAAGATTACTATTTATAAAATAGCTTTTGGGTCATCACCATTTGTTTAGTGCATAGTAAAACTAATTACCGCCAATCAAAATTTATTTGCTTCATTGTCGCCTTGGTTTTTTCTTTTCTTGCTGTTGTTTCTTTTTTTTTTTTTGGTGGTTTTGGCATCCTGTTGTAGGCTGTTGCCTCTTCATAAAATTTATTTTATTACACCATCATGTATTGATAAAAAAAATAAACAAATAAGTGGTGCTTGATTTTCATAAACAATGAAATCTTTTTAAAACTTTTTAAATTTTCAAATATTTCTAAACCAAAATTGACCAAATCGATTTATAATTCAAAAACTATGTCGCATTCTAACATTCCATCTATTTCTACTGCTTTACACTCATCGGCAGCAAATTCATAGTAACCCCATTTCGAAAGATGTATTTTTTTTTCAATTTACTCCACATTCCCTAAATGTCTACTTAACCTTTCAGACTTAACGCGCGGACTATGAGTCCGCTTGTCGAATTATTTGTCAATTTCTGACGATTAATTATGATTTCGGTCGTAGCGTGCGAGCTATCTTCAAGCGAAGGGATACTCTATTCAGTATAGTTGTAAGCGTTGTCTACTGCATTTAGTTCTGCTGCTATATCGAATTTCAGAACGTGAGTCCCCACATTAAACAAGTTGTCACAAATCTTCAGGTAAGATTCAATTTTATATGTATATCTGGGAATAAAACTAACGAGCACAGGACGAACCGAAGAAAATATTAAAGACAGAATAGTAAAGGGAAGACAGGTGATAGGAGCCCTGAATTCGGTACTGTGGCAAAAAAATATAAGAACAGAAAATAAAAAACGAATTTACAACACAATATTAAAACCAGTGTTAACTTATGGAGCTGAAGTCTGGCAATTAACTAAGAAATACAAGGATAAATTACTAGCCACTGAGATGGATTTTTGGAGAAGGTCAGCAAGAAGATCTAGATTAGAACACATAAGAAACGACGACATTAGACAACAAATGGAAATAGAAAGAACAATCATAGATGACATTGAAAGACAACAGCTAGTATGGTACGGGCACGTAAGACGAATGGAGGAAAGAAGAATCCCCAAGAAAGTGTTAGAATGGACCCCCACAGAAAAACGAAAACGAGGAAGACCAGTAACCACATGGATGAAAGGCATCTCCAAGGCAATGTCGGAACGAAATTTGAGAGATGAACACTGCCATAATAGAAAAGAGTGGCGATTAGGAACGGAAAGGCGTAGAACGCTATAAAACCGGTTTAATATATATAGATTCAATTTTAAAATATTTTTGACAATGCTAGTTTGGAAGGAGATTTCGAAGAGATACAGGACCATGACACCGACATGGAAGAAGAAATTGAGAAGCCAATCTCAGAAGTCTTGAATGTTTCACAAAGAGTGCCGAATTTCATTGGTAAGAATGGAGCAACTAAATGGAAGAAACATGTAGGAAACTACCGGATACTAACTCGCAGTGACAATTTAATGAAGGTAAAAATTTCTGGAGTAACCAGGGAAGTACGATATATGAAAAGTGCATCAAAGATTTGAAGTTGGTTTTTTACTGAAGAGATTTTGCAATCCATTGTAGACAGCACGAATATCTTTATTGAACTGTGTTCTTACAATCTCAGTTTGATTGGTGGTTTAAGTTTCTGCTCAGACACATCCGTTTTGATGATAAACAAACACGATTAGAGAGGCAAAAATATGACAAATTGGCAGCTAGGAGAGAATTCCTCGATTCGACAATAAATACGGCATAAAAACCTACGCATTAGTTGATACGAGCAATACTCCCTCGTTCCTCGCCTCTGCAGTCCTATATATGGTTCTCACAGAAATGTAACAATGAACAATTTACGAGCCTCATCTTGGCTGATCTTCTTTTAAACGAACATCATCTGACTGTGAGAGCACTATGAGAAAAGGCAAAAGAGAGCTTCCACTTCAATTTACTGATCCTAAAAGACCAGAAAAAATAAGTATGTTTGCTTTTAGAGAAACGTATATACCCAGAAAAAACAATAACGTTATTTTACTTTCAACGATGCATCATGACGATTTACTAGACGAATTAACGGGCAAGCCAAAAATCATCATTGACTATAATGAATTCAAAGAAGGAGTAGATCAATCTAGTTGATAAAATGTGTGCCGCCTATGATTGTGCTCCAGCCAATCGCCGATGGCCTATGGTCATTTTTTATTCTGCAATGAATGTAGCGGGTCGTTGTTTTTACTGTAGTAGACAAAAAAATAGAGCAAGCAGATATACCTGTCAAAAAATGACAAAAATTTGACTGCCTACAAGATGCTATTTCCGAAGACAGCAGCGAAGATTGACTTATTTCTGTTCATTCATGTATCTACTTTACGCATCTTAAACATTTGTTTTTTATTTAGTTTTTGTTTAATTTCTAAGAAATAGTTGTGTTGTATTCGTTTTTAATTTGGGTTTTTGTGTTTTATAGTACTCAAAATGGGTAAAACAAAATGGGTAAATGGGCAAAAAGACAACAATGTTAGCGAAGAAATTAAATGAAGAATAGTGAAAAATTTTTTCATTAGAAGAGGACAAGTGGGAAGGCGAGTCAGAGGAAGACCAAAACTTAGGTATCAAGATAACATACAGGATGATCTAAAATCTATCGGAGTTAAAGCATGGAGAAGAGTTGCCAGAGACAGGGGCGAATGGAAGATTGTTCTGAAGAACGCTTTGGCTCATAACGAGCTGTAATGCCACTGATGATGATGATGATAGTACTTAAAATGTGAAAAAGATATATCTGTCAACTTTTATTTTCAAAGCATGGGTAACTAAAAGTTATAATAAATTTTTGTGCCAATGTTTTTGTTTATTTTAATTATATGTTTAAAGAATCGACAAGCTGTGACCGTTTTTCCGAAAATATTTGTTTTTTGGACCTTTTCTAGATTTGCAGACTGTCAGTCCGACGTTATATTTTGTGTATCATCATGTCACGTTATCCCCGAAAGGAATCCCTGATAAAAATCCAAAAAATCTGTCGCGAAAATTTTCCACTCGCGACATGTTAACACCAAAAATTCAAAAAGTATATGGAAAATAATCGTTTCAATACTTATCGTTTAATTACATCCTCCTTAAAATTGTAGGTACGACTATAATATAAAAGATAATCACTTTTTTTAATCTGTTTATCGTTAAAGGTATACTGTATAAAGTTTTGGTCTTTTTTGATCTCTTAGAATTTGCAACGCACCATATTTAATGCTGGGCTAGGACGGAAAGAGAATGGGACACATATAATTATGTCCTTAATAACTTAAAATTCTGTCAAAAACAACTTTAATGTTATTTGTTTCAGGTGCACGAATGATCTACCGATATTTACCACAAGCGGCAGGCTTAAGGCGTATTTCTCTTCACAAATCGTTGAGTCCAAAAGGAGACAAGATGTACATATTATTATGCGAATGTGCGAATTTACTAAGCGATGTGACTGTTTGTGCTTTAATTTTACCTGCCCTAAGGGCAAGGTTGACTGGGTATACGGGAATTTTTAGACCATTACAGACTTTTTAAAAAGTGGGTCCAATTAAGATAACCTTTTACATATCTTATACATACATATTTAATAATCGTTACTACTGGTAGTAAGGTTTCCAAATCCGAAAGTGAAAATAGCAAATCGATAGTATGTATTACAATCATTTAGATATTTATAAAAAATATTTAATATAACCTCAAAAATAATTGTTCCTACCAAGATATGCTAGAGTGGTATTTTGCCAGAGAAATAAATTATATAAGTGGAAAGAATAATTGTTATTTATAGCTTCAAAAAACTTACTTTGAATTTCATAACACTCTTTTCTGATAAAGCAACAAAACAGAAAATCGACAAACTTCGAACATCAATAAAAAATATTGTCGACGAAATATAACTATATTTTGATTGCTTTTATTGGAAAAGTTTTTTTGTTGGTCTGATGAAATATTAGATAATATTGTACAAATTGATGTGTTTTCAATAAAGTAGAAATGAATGTTATTATTAGAAGCTCAAAGTTTACAATGCTGCCATTACAGATTTTTAGAGTAATGATTAATATTTACATTAAATATTTGCTGAAACAAATCAATAATACTGCACCTCAGAGCTAAACTGTATTAACTCACAAAATTTAAATTTTACAGGAGTGCAGATTAAAAGAAATATAAAGAGTAAATTTTAAATAGAATTTTTATTTCTTTTTCTTCAAATGTGTGATAAACATCATTTGAGATGTATGATATTACTGTAATTGATATTTTTATAGCTTTTTAATTTTTTGAAAAAACATGGAGTTAATACTGTTTAGCATGAAAACAATTACCATATTCGGGATTTAATATTATAATGGTAAGTTAGCACAAGTGAATAAATAATCTGGAGATAATACGATAAATGAAACAAAATTTAGTCAAGAACACTTCTATTTATTTAATTAAATGAAATAAACAAGTCATATCTGGAAAACAAAATGAGTAAACAAAGTTAACGAAAACATGATAGTTGTTCACTTAAAATTGTTTTGGAAATTGTTTATAATTCATCATCTACTTTATTGGAGTGGGATAAACTTTTATAAAAATTATGAAATTCACTTGGCACATGTGAGCAAACTTTGCAGATGTGTGTATTTTTTTGTAGCTATTCCCTTTCTCATATCGCGAATCATAGGCAGTACCCCAGGAAACACAACACGCCTAGTATTTCTGTTAAGATCAACAGATTGGAATGTTTCCGAATTAAAATTAGTTTTGAAAAAAAGTAATCCGAAATTATCGCTGCGTACTTGCAAGTGGACAGCATCTGACATGCGAAAGTCTGTATTTTGCTGAGTTTTTTTCCTTATAATAAAAGGTGAACAGTTGTTGTTGTAAAGAGTCTTAAAATCCTTGAAGTCATTTAGTTCCATATTAATTACATTGAATTTTAAAACGATAGCAAAGCCGTGCTACCTGCTGCCAGTTCCAGGGAGTCATAATTTTTAAAAAGGGTGTTTTCTATCGTTCTCTTTCAATAAGAGAATGATTACTGTCCACTCCTAAATGAGTATGACCACGTAACAAAAACTTGTGATTTATAATTTTTATCTATGGATACTTGAAGTATCCAAAAGTAAAGCATGAATTTTATTGTTCCACCACTTGTTGCTGCTCTTTCCTTTTAAGTCTTTTTAATTCATACCTGTTACTAGCCTTCAAAAGATGTTGTTGATAATCTTGTTCAATATTTTCTTTTCCTTCTACCATCTGGATTTTGGCCAAATTTAATCTGTCACATTCATCACAAGTGTCATTGTATGGAAGTTTAAATGAAATATTAAATTCTGTGTTATATATTTCGGAATACAGCCAAAGTTTAGCAATGTTTTCTTCGGGTGTATTGCTTTCCATTAACTCAAATCTGTATATCTCATACATTCTGGTAATATTTAGACCACAACCAAGAAATTTTTTCTGAGAACGCTCTCCTGAATAATGCGATTCTATCTTTGGGGACTTGCTAATATGATCCCGTAATGCCTTGTTTGATGAATTCAGGAATTTTATTGACAGGCTCACGTTTACCCCTTTGATATGTATTAACTACTCCACATTCCTTTTTCTTCGCAAGAGTTGTTGTAACGAATGTCTCGGATATACTTAAGGTAGAAAGAAAGATTAATTAATTAAGGTAGAAAGAAAGATTAATTAATTAAGGTAGAAAGATTAAGGTAGAAAGAAAAATTAATTAATTTAAAAAAAAATATCAAAACTTCAGGCGTTTGAATTATGGTTATACAGAAGAATCCTGAAGATACCATGGACAGACAAAGTCACCAATGAAAAAGTACTGCGGAGGATGAACACAACCGCGGATTTGGTCAACATTGTGAAGAGCCGTAAGTTGGAGTACTTGGGACATATAATGAGAAATCAAGGCAGATACGAGCTACTCCAATGCATTTTGCAGGGTAAAATTGAAGGAAAAAGAGCCCTAGGATGAAGAAGAATATCCTGGCTTGCTAACCTGAGAGCATTGTATAGAAAGACCTCAACACAGCTATTTCGTATAGCAACCAACAAAATCATCATAGCCAGAATGATCGCCAACGTTCGGAACGGACAGGCACCCTAGGAAGAAGAAGAAAGAAAGAATTTCTGACAATCTTGATTACATGATTAAAATATAATAAATAAGGCCTGGTAAACTCCCTCATGCCAGAGCGTGCTCCGATTCTACCATTGATTCTACAAATTGTCTTTTTATGTCGATGTTTTTATTAGGATCCCAAATTTAGAATGTATGCAACGTCTTTGATCTTCAGTTATAGCTTTTGTGAATCTAACGCTACAGGTTTCTATACATAGAGCTCCAAGTTGCTTCGATTGCAAAACTGTATTTTTGGTTTGGCGATTGTTACCACCGGCCACTTGTTATTTACGAACGTTCCGTTTCCAACGCAGAGGATTTGATTTCCTTTTTTTACCTGGGAGTTTTTGATTATCTGACTCACTTTCAGAATTATCTGTTTCGTTGTCAGTTGGTCCGTATGTCTTATTCTTGATAGAGTCATCGGAGTCCAAGCGTAAATCTGCATAATCTAGCTCTTCTCTATCTTGCACACAATTACCATACTTTGAGGACTACACGTAATGGGTAAAGCAGTCTGTGCAATGATTCCATTTTCTGAAACTAAATATACCTGTTGTTGAAACAAGTTCTACAATATTTTGTGTATTAAGACTTGTGGATTCATCATTCAGTGTTGATATTATACTATTAGTGAAATTTTCATGTAAGGATATTGGGAAACTTTTTTCTAAAAATTATAAAACATGTACTATTAAGTTTTTATGTAATAATGAGAACTAATATTTTTTTATTATTAATAAATTTGTTAAAACATACCTATTTTGAGGTTAGATCCATTTATCGCCGATGAAGAGGATAATGCTTGATTGTTTTCCACAGAATCAGTACTCCATTACGTCAAAGGAGTAAAGCATACCTTTTGATGCTTTTCTAAAGCTTTTTTCACAATTTTATCTGTTGTGGAACACATTATTTACAAGGTTATTGAACACACACGATCACTGTGAAATAGCATAAACACACTGACTACAGTGCCACACTGCGGTTGGCGCGGTTTTACGTCGTTCCGTGGAGTTAATACTTCTTAAATGTGCATGTGATATTAACTCCACGAATACTATAAATATAAACTTATACTAATAATACTTATATTGCTGGGTATTAAGTGTAAACGACTGTTACTCTGTCTGCAGGACTCCTCCAGCGTGGCCACGATGATATCCGAGGCTGCTCGCTCGGGTTCTTCGGACACCATCGTCGCCAATGCCAGAGACCTACCTGCTAAAAAAAACACCCTCCTCAGCGGTGAATTACCTGCCAGATCGTCCTGGGACGCAACCTCGGCACGGCATTCACCCGAACTTTCATTCACGCACAATTCTCACGCATTCTAGCACTTTCTCACTACGACTGCATTCTTTTCCCCCTTTATTCCTCCCCATTCATCTTAAATCCCACTCATTCTGCCTTATCTTCTTGCTTGGTCCTGGGCACCCTGCCTATCTTCGGGTCGCCTTTCTTCTTTTTCCTTTCTTTCCAATGTTTTCCTCACATATCTCTGAACTGCTCTCCACCGATCTGACGACCTAAGCATCTCCTCCACCAATTCCTTGACTGATTGCACCCTACCTCCTAACTCTCTCTCAAGCAGGCTCCTCTCAACTATCCATCTATCGCATACCAATAGGGTGTGTGAGACAGTGTCCGATATTCCACAATACAGGCATTTGTCATTTTCTGCCTTTCCAAATCTGTAAAGGTATGCCTTGAAGTAACCATGTGTCCTGTGAGCATCTGCGTCAGGAAATAATCCAAACGCCGGTGCCCGCAATCCATCCATCTTCTCAGGTTAGGAATGAACGACTTCGTCCACTGCGCCACCCTTCTCATCTCATCCTATTCCTCTTGCCACACCATTATGGACCTTTCCCTTTCTTCTTTTTTTAAACGTTCTATTGCTATGTCTTTATTTCTTCTCTCGTATATTTTTCCTCTTTCCATCACTAGCACGTGCATTGGAATACACCCAGTGATAACTCCTAACGCCTCTGCAGAGACTGTTCTGTATGCACACGCCACCCTCAATAGGCTCTTCCTATCTGCTCGGGTGAGCTGTTTTCTGTACGCCTTTGTTAAGACTGCAGAACTCCAGACCGGCGCAGCGTAGAGCTCGGAACTACTGAGGGACTTAATACACTTTATGGTTGCTTATCTTTGGAACCGCATTAAATAGGATTTAAAGCGTATTGCATATGAAAGATGTGAAGTCTGTTACGTAGAAAGTGAAATAACACAATTTTTCAAAAAAATGGAGTTAATACAGTCTAGCTCTGAGCTACAGAATAGATACGAACAAAATTTTTCATTTATATATGGTGTTCACATTTTGCTTCGTTCGAGTCGAAGTAGTTACACACTGAAACCTACAGCTAATTGACAACTAGTATCTTTGTTTTGTAGTGCCTATCCGTTACAAAAATTTGTAAATGACTATCAGTTGCAATAATATTGTTAAAATTAATAGCATAACGAAAGATGACAAAAAGAAAATATTAGGAACATAACGTGCAAAATTTGTATTTCTCAAAATATATATTTAAAAAAATAAATAATATAAATGCATACAGCACTAGTTTGGATTTGGAAACTACAGTTTACTACCTATGTCAACAGTATTAAAACTGCTACTAAAGTAATAAGAGACAAATTAATTTCATAATTTAAAGTTGTTAATAAAATTTAAAGAAAATCTTATATATAATTATATATTACAATATAGGTATATAATTTCTTATAAATTCAGTGCATAGTTTATTTGTGATTTTGATATCCGAAGGGACCATTTCACGAACGAGTCAAGTAAATTTTGATATATGGAGTTCCAACAATCCGCCTGGGCGAACTCTGTAGGTGACATCTGAAGTCCTGATAAAGGAGATGAATGTAAACTTAGAATAATCTTACAGGATGTAGGTTTAGGTTAGGTTTCAGCTAAATACACGGGACAAGTTTACAAGCAAATGCCAGCCGGCTTATTCCCAAGCAGCGCGTTAACTAGCTGCTCGTAAAAATGCTCTAGATAAAGTTGAACTGT